GCTTGCAGCTGTACAAAGAGGCCCTCGCATACGTAGGGAGCTGCCTTTTCTGCCGAAGCAACCCTTGTCTGCAGCACCCAAACAAACCAGAAACTTATATGCTCTTAATAAGGCATCCACAGACGCCGTCGTTCTTTGTATATTTCTGTGTCAGCCTAATCCCATTTACTCATCCGTCCATATTAACTCCTTTCGCCCGCTCTTTATGCTGAATCATTATCCTGCTGCTAGAAGAAGCTGGTTATATTTGTCAATAGACCTTTATTTGCTGCTCAGCCTACAGCTGTCAACAGCTGCAATGCTGTGCGAGCCAACTGCTGCAAGTGCTCCACCGCAGTAGCGTTCGATGGAATCTTGGTGTGCAAGGACCATCCAGGCTTTTCTTCAAAGTGCCTGTTGACTGCCTGCGAGGCAAACGAATTGGCAGCACAGTGTATTACAGTACTAACTAATCCTTGTTCCTTGCGCAAAGCAGTAAATGCATCTTTGGATGCAACATGTGATCAACCAGCCAGTGTGTCTACCTCCTGTTACTATTTGAGGTGCTGCTCCTGCTGGTGCTGGTGCTGTTGAAGCTTTGTGGCTACAGCTACAGCACTGCTGCACTATAAAGAAAAGAGGGTGTGTATATATGCCTGCCTGAAATGTTGAAAACTCGGCACGTTGCTCCGCCTCGCACACATATCTATTAGCGAACCCGCAGCCCCAGACAACGGCGTAGATAAGGAAGGCCATATACCTGCAAGGAAGAGAAGGGTGCGCAATGCTTTGTATGTCCGTCTACACAGAAAGGTGCAGGGGTCAAAGGCGAGCTGTCATCCTGAAAAAGGAATGAGACAGCAGCCGCTGATTTTCGGGGATGGACTGACGTATATTCGACTGAGAAGCTGTGATCTAAAATGATGTTCAAAAAGACGCTTGTTGCCACCGTGAGAGTTGGAAATACGACATAAAAAGGCCATGACCATGCTAAGCTGCAGCAACAGCATACATAAAAGTGAAGCAGAGATAGGCACAAAGCGATGAAACATGAATACGCAGCAGACACTACACCAGACAAAACTAGCTTTCAGAAGGAGAAGAAAACCCTTCATGTAGCACCAAAAGCACTAGCATTTAAAGCACCAGTAAAATCACAAGCAGCAGAAGCAGTTAGACGTGCAAAATTAGCAGGGAGCTTACAAAATTGGACAGCAGAAGTCCGTGAGGGAGTAGACAGCGATGATCGAGAGGGTCATAAGGAGCAGTGTAACAAATGAGCTAATGATAAAAGACTCGGCGCCTTTGCCTATCGCGGTGCTATGTATGTGCGTCGGCTGGGAGGAGGCCTCCGTGACTTCTCTGGAAGCATTTTTTTTCTCCTGTGGCATGCTGCTTGCAGAGGCAATCCGCTCTTTGGCAGAATCGAGGACTCCGGCTACAGGAACAAGAGGAGTAGTAATCCCAACATTTGGGGCGCTGCTGGAAAGACTAGACTGAACAAGTGGCCCTTCTTGTACCAAAGCCGAAGTATATGCCAGTTGCGAAGTTGGAAGAATTTCCACTCCTTCTGCAGCCGAATTTGGCGCTGCAAGCGCCTCAACTGAGGCGTACCGCAGCTGCTGTTTTTGGCCCACTAAGTAAGATCCCAAATAAAAGTACACCCAAGCCAGGGCAAGCAACAGCGTCTGAATGCAACAGCAACACATGCACGCACCGAATGCCTCTGCACGTATGCACTGATCCCAACATACCCTAACTTCCATAGTAGGCCGGAAAGATAACCCCCACGCCGCTTCACTTTCCACTTGGCCGGCCGTTCCCGATTGCCCTGCCCAATATGCGCACAGGCGCCGGTGTAGACCCTCAAAGGCCCGCAGAAAACGTTAGTTTTCTCGCCGTTTATGCGTGTGCTTGCCACCAGGGGTCACGCATGCGCACGGCCGAAGCAGCTGTGCAAGAGGCTTAGTTCGGGCCACCTCTTGAAACCCTACAAGCGATAAAGGGAGGAAAATACGAGGTTAGCGCGCCTGGGCACGATGATCCAGAGCAGTGGACTCGGCCGCTATTTATAAAGGCCGACAAGACGCAAGGGTGTGTCCAGACGTACCAGGGCAACGAAGACGAGTGTGAGGCGGAGCACTGATTTACCACCGATTCTCAGCTTCTTACGGAATAAAACGATGCAGGCATGAATCGTCCACGCACCAATGAGGGTTCCACACCCAACAGAAAACGAAAAGGACAACTCTTCTGAGACCCTTAAAATGGACAGGACTTTGCCGTACACGGGCCACAGAGACGAGAGTACGATGAGGAACAGAAATGACACACAAACGGAGGGGGCCTTGCGCCGAATCAGGCGGCTCACACGAAACTGTTCCTCTAACTTTGGGTCTTTAAAGGTTAAAAGGCACATGCCATATGAAGATAAAGAAGCCACCCCCGACCCCGTCGCAATCAGGCCAGATTGGCCGGCGCCCAAGGCTGCAGCAGAAAGCAAAAAGCAGCAGTCTCCATTTCAGTACACTGGAGCAAATTGATAAGATATCGAAGGCAGCTTTAAAGGCATCGGGACCAGCCCTTGTTCAAAAAAGGCCTTGCACACATCAGCACATGGCCAGGGGCCCTTCAGACCCCCGAGGGGCATCTGTAATACTGCAGCACCCACTACTGTGCAGTGCAAATAGAGCAGACAGGAGCAACAAGCCAAGGCAGAAGAAAGAAAGGTGGCGAATCTGATTAGATAGGAGTGGATCCCTGTGCTTACACTTGCAACTGTGTGGAGCTGAGTGCTTCTGGAAGAGCGCTGGGAGGTGCACGCTTAGTCGTCCCCTCCTAACTCCCCTTCCGTTTGTGGCATTCCGGCCACCCAGCGAGACACTTTCTACCAGCTTAGTGCCAACATGGAATTCCCCGCTGCGTTTTAACTTATCGAACGAACGGGCAGGCGCTGTGATAGTGGGATGACTCGAGGGAGTGTCATCCACGTCCGCCCACGCTGAGTCATTCCCGGAAAGCAGTCTATGAGCAGATGCATACGTGAAGTCTTTGCTTCTTGCGAATCCGCGATTGCTTCGGTAAGGCGCACACGGGCCTCTGATGCTTGGGGAGTTTCTGGAGCACGAGGGAGCCACAGACGCAATGACGTAAGAAGAGTCCTCAGAGCCAGCCCTGCATGCGGCCGCGCGTTCGGTCACCCTAGGCGCAGCAATCGGAGAGCTCCAGCTGGGAAAGGGCCCTTGAAGACATTCACGGGCGTCCACGGGGACCCGTGCCATGATCGCAAATCAAAGCATCCTAAGAGGCGCGCAGCTTAGTCTTTTGTTTCCCTCTTGAGCCACTTACACCGATCGTGCAGGTGCCTACGTTGCAGCCAACGCCGAAACTTCGGGGAGCGATGCCGCGGCAGCAGCTGACGTCGCTAAGGAACGGTTGCCCTGGCCGACGATGAGGAGGAAGCGGGACCCCAGGATCGAAGCAAAAATCCTGGAGCCTTCCACGGGCCACGGGGATTTTCACTAGGACAGTCGCTGGAAAGAAGGAGAAACTGGGTAGAACCAAAGTAGAAATCGGTCGGAGTCGGAGCCAGCGCCGTTTAGAGCCCACAGACAGCTAGTCGATTCGCGGAGGCTCGCGATCAGGGGAAGGGCCGTTTCGCTACCTTCACAAAATATGGGGCAAAGTTGCCAACACCATTGACGTTGAAATGGAGAAAGAATTTAGGGCAGCAAAAAGTGTTGAATATCGCTAACCTCTCGCAGTTCCCGCTGCCGTCCTGGGCGCTCCCGGTCCCTCGGGAGCGCAGGGGGCTAGGAGCCCCAGGTATCATCAGCCTATTCACCTTAAAAGCGGCAATTTAAAATAGAGAGCATACGTTACGTCCTCAATTGCCACCACAATAGAAGCAAAGGTGCTAAGAACTGGTGCAAAAGAGAGAACCTGATTCGGGGCGCTCTCTAACCGGAATAAACATATGGCCAGCCATCGATTCTCCGGCGGCTACGTAGACAATTCCACGCAGAATCTACCAAAGCCCAAGAATAAACGCTTTTATCTAGCTCATGAAAGCAACCTTTAGCCCTTAACAGGTGGAGCGAATCGTTGGCTACATACAAAACGGGAGTGAGCCAGTGGTACAGGCTTTGATCACGAGGAAAGCACTAGGTATCCCTCACACAGAAAATGTAATCATACTTTGGATCCTCTCCTTTTACTCTACGTGCTCATGTGTCCCCGCAAAAACGGCGCAGTTAATACAGAAACGCTGCGCTTACACTCCCGACACATCCTCATATGACGCCACACTGTGGCTGCAAACAGGCGTTACTATTTGCCTAGTCCCTATGTCTTTGAGCTGTTAATGACACGTCACTTCGGATCCCCGATTTCTAGTGCAATATTGAGGCTCCGACGCGGCGGGCTTGCACACGTAACACGGCAATAGTCAGGGCCAGGCTTCCCCTTGAAGACGGCCCATCGGCCGCTCTCACGCGGTCGTTGACACATTGAATAATACCCTTATTACATAACGAACCAACTCGCGACCACTGTTATTTTTGGATTCTGATGCTATTAGTTGACATTTTGCATTGGGCAACAAACCACACAGCAGACTAGCCACCCTTTTTCGAAGTCAAAATGCATCCCGTGGATGTCTGCCTAAACTACGTACCACTTCAGTAAACCTCAGCGCAAGAAGCTTAAGCGTGCAACAAATTAGACCTGCTGAATGAGATCGGGATTAGTGGAGGATGGCAGAAGTGACATTAACTCTGGGGTCCTTTGCAGTCTACCGCTGCGCCGCGAGAGCAAACATGCCCTCACAAGCATTCTAAGGCAAAAGCTCATCCATGAACCAGCAATACAAAACCGCCGATTCGGACGACGTCTGAGAAACAAAATAAGAAAAAGACCCCTTTCCCATGTGGGCTTAACCAGACGCTTCGGCCCTTCTGCCCCTTGACTGGGCAGGGCAGACACGCATGCGCGCTCTTACAGGCACGAGGAGGGATGAAGGTTTAAAGGAAGTCCTCTTCAATCTGACGGCAACTGTCAATAGTGCCGTCTCCTTTATACTCTGCGACGGGTTTTGGGTTCTGCAGGGCTTGATATGTTTTGAGTTCCATTTCCAACTGCCGTTCTTTCTTTCTTTGTTCTTCCTGCAGCTTCTGTTGTTGCAGCTGCGCTTTCATTTCATTTCGTTCACGCCTGTCCCTTTCTGCTTTCTTTTCTTTGAGATCGAAATTCGCTTCTTTCTTGGTCTTTTCGAGCCTCTTGATCATGTCCTTGTCCTTTTTCACATTGTGCACATACTTCACCTTTGACTGTTGCTTGAAGCCCACCTGCCCGGTATCCATGCTGGCCGTTTTCTTCAAATTTGGCGCTGAAGTGTACACAATCGTTACTTCTGATTGCTTGCAGCCCTCGATGGAGTTGTGTTTCGTCAACTGGCATGCCTCCTCCACCACCTCGGGCGGTATCCTCTCGTAGTCTGCGATACCAAACACAGTTCGCGCAAACACCCGAAAGGATTATTTATCCAGCTTACATGCAAAGCAAAATAATAAAGCAAAGGCTACACCGGAGAAACCACCAGGTATGGACATCTGCAGGCATACTCAAGGGGTTAGGGCTTCAAGGGAACAATCCGCTGGGGGCACCGGACGGCTGCTTGCTGCGACTGGTTCGTCTCCAGCACTGCCCCCTCACTGCCCACTCAGCCTAGTAAGATCGTAGTTATTACCGCTGAAGGAGGTAGAGCTTAATTTGCTAAAAATACTACTGAAATCCGCACCAGTTTGTCCGAATGGCATTCTCACGTATACGTGAGCGCTCGAGAGTTCGCTGACGTGGAACCACACATCTTCAGGAAAGGCATAGGCAATCAGATCCTCATTTTCATATTTGTCTCGCCCCATGTAGATCTCATAGCCTGGAGCTGCATATAACAGCAGGATCACGGTCAAAGCCCTTATCCCGCTAATTTCCAGCTGTCCTGATTTTTCCGAACATTAACCATGAGGATTATAGGAATGCATGAACCCGAGTTCAAAAGAGCCGAAATGAAATTTCTAATTCATGCACAATGCGAGAGTCAGGGCTGAGGCCACAAAGCAAGTTACGGATGCAGGAGGGAAGGCAGTCCGACCGCTGTGAGGTTCTGGATTGGCAACCATTTTTGTGGACACGCGCTCGACACTTACTGGAGCACTGGTATGTGAACACCATTTTCAGCGTCTTCTCTTCAAGAAAAGTGGCACTTTAGTTGAAAGGCCAGTGCTCTTCCCTTCGTCTGTAATTTGCACACCGCGTGACCCCTCCACAAGCTACCCGGACGCACCAGAAAAAGCGCCAGTCACGCGAAGCCCTTGCGTCTAGCGATGTAAGGGCCTTGATTTACGTAATATTGGTGCCTTTGCTGATTTGGGGTTTGTTCGCCCCTATCCCGGGTTCGCTTCACACCACCAAGCTCAAAACACTAGAGCGGGGGAGGGGCAAGAGCAACAGGACAACATGAAGGGCATCTGAAGCCTATCTGCAGTAGGAAGTATGCCAAAGTCCGCCTGTAAACGAATAAAAACTCGTGAGGAGCGAGGAAGGGTAAACAGAGGATACGACTCGACAGCGCTCTGACAACAGAACAAATAAAAGGGAGAAGGCATCCACAATGAAAGTGTGGCGCTTCCTATCAAATTGCAGATGCCAATTTAAAGTAAATAAATGGAGTTAACACTGCTCATAAGCTGACAAATGAACGCTTCCCCTGCTGGGGACCCCTGGGGGCCCATGGGGGCCCTCTAAAATCCCTCTGAAAGGCCTTGTGCCTTGTTTGAGAGCACCAGAGCAGTAAAGCTTCGTTTGTTTTAATCAGTCATAACTTCTGAATAAATGCGTGCATGCTCTACTATTTGAGGTTCTCCAATACGTATGAACTAGGAACGCATTCGTGGAGCGCAGCCCGCATCCGTCGGCCATAGATCACGCAGTGCTGTTACCACCGCAATCAAGTTGGTCTGTCCAGTGGAGGCAGGACTGCACTTACTTCCTTTACATCGAGCTTCTTTAGTTTTCCTGCATCCAGAGAGTGAATTAGAGCCGACGAAGTGGGCCCCTTAGGCACGTCCGCGGCGTTTCGTCCGACTCGGTAGGAGACCTCCGCAAGTAGAAGCGTAAATCCGATTCATTACAAACTTAGGGGAGAGTAGTTAAGTAAAATCTGAATAGCTTCTCTTTCCCCTGCATGCTTTCCTCATGGTACCGACAGAAGGGTAGAGGGAAAGCTAGGATACGCCTAGCTCCACGCTCTATGCATTCCCGGCATTCACAGCTAGTTGCATATCACACCTAGCGCGTGCACTCACACTTTTGTGTCGTGTTGTTTCGAGCTTGCTCTACGTCTTGAATATGAGATGTACTGACAGGCACAGCAAAGAGCCAATTTGGTACGAATAGTCAAGTGACAGGTGTAGTAGAACGTGCCTATCTGGAACTTGGCCCACTACATTCGCCTTGTAACCCCAACAGAGAGACGCATAAGGGGCGCCCTGATAGGGATGCTTGTCGCGGTATCCCCGTAGGTTTTAAAGCAATTGTCTGTACACTGCAACTCTGCGGTTTCCCCCCCCTTTTCTCGGCTGTAGTCGTTCCGGTGTTTCCCTGCCTTAGCATCCTAGCACATTAAAGGAATCAAACGCTACATATGCGAGCTGTATACTGCTGCAGCCATGTTTACTGAAAAGTCGCTAAGTAGTGATCAATTGGCTGGGGTGTGCGAAGGTGCCAGGCTACTGGCACCCCCTCTCCAATGCACTATTACATCGGCATGCATCAATACTTCTAAAGAGAGCTATGGAGGCCTAGACTATAAATAAAAACGCCGCCTTAGAGACCGTTACTGGTGCAGGGTTAGCATCAGAGTAGGGTCAGCTCCACACGATAAAAAATTTGGCTGCATGTCTGGACTGTGCTTTAAATGGCGATGCACATCCAGGTGCGGATAGTTTGAGGGGTAAGAGGGCTCGACAGAGGCCTCCCTACTTGTTCACGCAGGCCTCATGTCAGAGCTCTGTGTGATGAAGTTATGGAAAAGGGGCTCGATGGGATTTACTAGGCCCCCACCCACCCCACGCGAATACAAAGTTATGTAGGTTGCTCCTGAGGCGTCATTCCAAAAGATATGACCTGCATGGAAGCACTGCACCACGCTGATGGCTTTTTAGATTGTTCCGTGTTTGCCTTCTCGCTTCGGAAGCCACGAATTCGCTGAAAGTAGCATGGCCTATCGCTTCTGCTGCAGCTGCTGAAGCCCTTCCCCCAACTGGTGCACATTTATGCGGCCCACGGTGGCAGGTGTATCTACATGCCCTTTGGATGATTGCAGTACGTGCAGTCGTAAAGCTTGTCGGGAGCTCTGCATCCTAGGAACTTGCAAATTGCGCCGAGCGACGGTTCCCATGAATCTAGAAGACCACTCTGGGCAGCGCACCAGCAACGTCTGCGGACCGTGTGAGGCATATAAAATCCTCTGCACATTACGTGGCCTAACAGAGAGAACTCCAGCAAGAACTACGGCGGCTGCCTTTCACGCCACCGAAGGGCACAGCACAGGCTCGCGTAAAATAGCTTTGTTTCTTTTGTTGCCAACGGCGAATAGGCACTTTCCATTGCGAGGCAACACTGGATCTAAGGTAAAGGAGGCTCTTTATCCTGCTAGACTCCTACGGGCAAGCGGAGCCGTATGTGCAGCGTGCGGACTGTGGCCGAGCCGCTTGACAAGCAGCAGTGAGCCATACCCATGCATAGGGCCTAACAGCTGCACTGTGTAGGGCCAAGGCCCTTGTAGCGGAGGCAGCCCTCTCTAGCGCCTTTGCGCGCAATGGAAAGAAATTTCCCTCTAAGTAGGAAGGGATTGGATCCTACGGTGAGACGCCGAGAGGCCGAAGGAGCAGGAAGGCGCACCGAGACAAAAGATCACCAGACATCGAGGTGGCAACGTTTGTAGGGAGAAAATGGACTCCCTCCCTCAACGGCTCACCCGCAGGGCACCACCATCACTTTCTCCATATTCGAAAAAGGGCAACCCTTCTAAAGTGGGCAGTGAGTCGTACCTTGCAGCTGAAAATGAACGTCTCCATGGAAGCACACGCAGGCGCAGGCAGGCACGCTCATGCACACACACATACATACACACCGCCAGCGCCCACTCCATTCCAGGTTTTGGAGGGCTTCGCAAAAAAGCCTCTCGAGCACTCTGATAACAGTCAGTGCAGCGTGCCGCTGCCTTCGAGGGCCTCTCCTTGTCCGCGATGCTTGACTGCCTTGTTGAACGCGGGCATCGGAAGCCGCAATAGAGGGGATGATACTGCAAATGGCCCTAAGGGTCGTAACGCTGCAGCACGGAGCCTCCTTCCAATCATGGAGATAAGAGGAGGACAGCAGCACAAGCCGGACGAAAGTACTGCCAAGTACCCCGGCATCCGGATGTGCTCTTGTGGCGTCCAAGATGGACGCCCCGCTACTGAAAAACTGCAGCTCAGTCTTGCAGCAACGCTTCGAGGTCGATATCGTCCACACTAGGAGGAGCAGCAGCAGGTGCACCAGATCCGAATGGCGATGCCTTCTGCTGCACGCACTTGTCCAGCGACCGCCTCTGCTGCTGCGCGTATGTGCAAGCAGCCTTCCTCGGAAACGCCGCTGTTGCTCCATGCGCAGGCACCAAACGCCCTTGCGAGAAACTTACCCCAAGCCCCTCCTCTACGGGGGCACCCACGTCCCCGCCTGCCCTTTCGTCCTTAACAGCGCTTCCCAGATCCAATAAAGCGTGTGCTGCCACACTACCAGCGGCTGCTGTCACCGGACGCCCTGAGGGGGCTTGCACTCCTACCACGAGCCTTGCTTCCTCGCCCAATTCCGGATACCCCGACGAATAGTCCACCCGCTGATCGACCTCCTCGTAGGACGCTCCTCCTGCAACAGACGCTGTTCGTCCCGCAGCAGCAGCACGCGCTACTGCAGCACGAGGCACTGCTTCTCCATAGACACCTGCTGTACAAGCCACTGATGGCCGTTCCATCTGAACTGCAGAGCAGACGAACGCCTGCTCACTTACGCCTTCAGACACTCCGGCTGCAATAGGGACACCCCAGTCGTCGTCGAAGTCTATGTCATCTACAGGCCTTCCATCTCCTTCTTGCACTAAGCCCACAGGAAGCGCTGCTGCTGCCGCTGGCGGTGTGGCTGCTGCACGTTGGGAGGCTGCAAATTGCACTAGTGCAGGTGTTGCTGCAGCACCTGCAACTGAGACTGCATCTGATGCTGCAGATCCACCCCAGTCGTCGTCGAAGTCTATGTCATCTACAGGCCTTCCATCTCCTTCTTGCACTGAGGCCACAGGAAGAGTTGCTGCTACTGCCGCTGGCGGTGTGGCTGCTGCACGTTGGGAGGCTACAGATTGCACTAGTGCAGGTGTGGCTGCAGCACCTGCAACTGAGACTGCACCTGATGCTCCAGATCCACCCCAGTCGTCGTCGAAGTCTATGTCATCTACAGGCCTTCCATCTCCTTCTTGCACTGAGGCCACAGGAAGTGCTGCTGCTACTGCCGCTGGCGGTGTGGCTGCTGCACGTTGGGAGGCTACA